CCTCATTAATATATTCCATTCTCTTCTGGGTATTGGTGCTCGGCCCATTCTTGTTTTAATTGAACTGCAAGCCTTCGCAATGCAAGCAGTTCTCATTTCTTCCAGCATTCTCCAGTTTTTCCCCCCTTCTTTGTGACTTTGATGTGGAGGCTTTTTTCTAGTGGGTAGTTAAATAAACTGCACTATTCTGTCATCACACCTGTTACCCTGAAATGAAATAAGGAGGCCCATTTCCCATCTCTTTTTGATTTTGTTAAGTCTTTTTACCTCTTATTTAGGAAAAATTACAAGCTACAATAAAAACTGTAGACTGGAGCAGACATTCTGGCACTGTGGGTTAAGGTACTACTTAAGATGCCTGCATCCCATGAGTGCATGGGATTGAGTCTGGCCTATGCTTCTGACCCACTTCCTGCTAATGCTTCTGGGAGGCAGCAGATGGTGGTCCAAGTACTTGGATTCTTATCACCAGTGAGGGAGACCTGGATGGAGTTCCTGGCTCCTGACTGTGTCCTGGTCCAGCCTCGGCTGTTTGGGGGGGGCGCGGATTTTGGAAATAAACCAGGGAATGGAAGATCTCTCTCTTTCTCTGTCTCCTCCTGTCTCTCTGCCTTTCAAAGAAATAAATACACATTTTAAAATTTTTGTTAAAGTTAAGATTAATGTTCTTTGAATATCTAAGAAAATAGTTTCATAAAAAGAAGACCCTTTAGTATCTTTTAACACCAGATCCCATATTCTCAACTTAATTGATTTATCCTGGTGGCAACCCCTTACTGACAAACATTAAAATAACTCCTGAGGAATTGAAATAATTCATATTTATTACCCATTGGCATCAGCTCTGTCTCAGTTTCTGTAGTGTGTTGTACTCTGAGAGGTTGGGCTAACTACTCGTATCAGTGCATTCACTGCTTCCTCAGGGACAGGCTTCCAGACTTCCCTGGCATATGACTGTCCCATTGTGTGTTCTCATAACACCACATGCCTCCTTCATATAATTGTATAGTTGTTATTTTATATTTATTTGTATGATTCTTTGATTTGTGTCTATCTCTCCCACCACTAGATTAAAACTTAATGAGAGAAGAAACATGTCTCTTTCTTTTTGTTGTTTATCATTTGTCCCTACTGAGAAGGTGGTGAATAAATGCATTTTAAAGGAATGAGTGCCCCACTTTTAAGTTGGATGGACAGTGCTAATTTACATATAGTTTTAAGAATTGCTGCTCTGGATAGTGTAGATTTCATCCCTGGATTAAATTAGAACATCTGACAGTTATGTCCTTGGACAATAATTCTTTGTTTCCTTATATAATTGCTTTTTCTTAATTGAATCCTGGCAGCCTGTCTGTTGGCACAAATTGAGGTATGCTGTAAACAACAAATTTATGTGAGTTAGAGATGTTTTTGAGGACAGTGTCCATCATATTAAGTACTTTCCATTATAATAGGTAATATTTATGAGTATTAAGAGGAGAAATTTCTCGGTGATCTTATTTCTGTGCTTACCTGGAGCAGCTAGTCTGTTTTTTGTCTTTGAAGCACTATTGTCTTATGCCTAATCCTTGTGTCCTAAAGCTCAAAGCCAAGTTTATAACTTACATCTAAAAATTAGTGATTTCTGACATACCCTCTTATAGTCTAATCTCAATCTTAGTGTCATCCTTAATCTTTGGGATTTTAGCTGTGATTTGTTGCATATTTAATGTTTTTTTTTCCAATAAAACAGCTCGATAAATACCTTTGAAGGAATAACACAAATGTCACTAGAGCTTAAAAATAAAAGCTAATGTAATGTGCTTGCTGGGCAATAAAAGAGTTCAGTGTGTCTCTCCACGCTAACTGTAGTAGAGACAAGGAGAGAAATAAAGTATTATCTTTTTGGAGGGAATCTATGTATTAAGATCTGATTGGTTCATTTGGTGCTTGGTAAATCTCTCGATTTTTTTTCTGCATGTGTCACAAAAGTACAGGGATTACTTAACAGAGGGATCTGATGTAGGATATGCAAGTCTGTTAAACTCCTGGACATACAGTCATCACTTGCATGCACATACTGGAAACTTGGAAGAGTTTCATATTAACACTTCCCCCTTTTGCTCCTCCCTTAGTCCTATAGGGGCACAACAGAAGGTTACATTTTTACTGCTGTGTGGGTTGGCACTTAGCCTGACTGGCTATTAGAGTCGTCTTATATCCCTTCTATTGCAAAATAAGTTTTTGTAACATCAGTGAAATAGCAGCTATGTAGTAGCATAGATAGAGATATATGGCTCTGGAGATTAGGAGAGTCACATACAGTTTCAAAAACAAAGAGGATTACTTGTAACAAAAGTAAGAAAGGAATTCTCAATTATCTCTGAAGTAGAGATATCTTAAATAGGATTAAACAAAATTTATAAAGGTTGTCATAGGGCCCGCGCCGCGGCTCAATAGACTAATCCTCCGCCTGCGGCGCCGGCACACCAGGTTCTAGTCCCGGTTGGGGTGCCGGATTCTGTCCCGGTTGCCCCTCTTCCAGGCTGGCCCTCTGCAATGGCCCGGGAGTGCAGTGGAAGATGGCCCAAGCACTTGGGCCCTGCACCCGCATGGGAGGCCAGGATAAGCACCTGGCTCCTGGCTTCGGATCAGCGCAGTGCGCCGGCCGCAGCGCACCGGCCGCCGCGGCCATTGGAGGGTTAACCAAGGGCAAAAAGAAGACCTTTCTCTCTCTCTCTCTCTCACTGTCCACTCTGCCTGTCCAAAAAAAAAAAAAAATTACAAAGTAAAAAAAAAAGGTTCTCATAGGACTATGAAGCATGTTAGGCTAATTAAATAGTACAATATTGTCCATGTATGTTTGCTAAGTCTCATTCCTGAAAGAATCTGTATTTGGATTAAAGCTTTGACAGATTCAGATTCTAAGACTGGATCAAGGGCCGGCGCCGTGGCTCACTTGGCTAATCCTCCGCCTTGCGGCGCCGGCACACCGGGTTCTAGTCCCAGTCGGGGTGCCGGATTCTGTCCCGGTTGCCCCTCTTCCAGGCCAGCTCTCTGCTGTGGCCAGGGAGTGCTGGCCAGGGAGTGCAGTGGAGGATGGCCCAAGTCCTTGGGCCCTGCACCCCAAGGGAGACCAGGATAAGCACCTGGCTCCTGCCATCGGATCAGCGCGGTGCGCTGGCCACGGTGGCCATTGGAGGGTGAACCAACAGCAAAGGAAGACCTTTCTTTCTGTCTCTCTCTGTCTCACTGTCCACTCTGCCTGTCAAAAAATTAAAAAAAAAAAAAAAAGACTGGATCAAAGACAAAATCAATTTTTACTTGATTCAAGCTAGTTTCCATAAACTAAATACATTCCATAGAGTTTATTGTATACTATGATTTTCTCCAGTTGTCTCCAATCCAGATGTAACTCTGGAGAAAAAAAAATCATTTTTAGCTTTATTTTTTACGTAAGTAATAGCTTCGTTAAGATACAGTTAAACCTTTTAAAGTTTAAATATAACTAGATTTAATTCAGAGTTATGGAGTCATCACCACTATCTCATTTTAGAACATTTTTATCACTCCAAAAAAAAAAAAAAAAAAAAACCCTGATGCCCATTGGCAGTGACTCATTCTTCCCTCTATCAACCTGGCAGCACCTAATCTATTTTCTGTCTCTTTCGATTTGTTCAAGAGATAAACTATTTAGGCTGGCGCCGCCGCTCACTTGGCTAATCCTCCGGCACCCCAGGTTCTAGTCCCGGTTGGGGCGACGGATTCTGTTCCGGTTGCTCCTCTTCCAGTCCAGCTCTCTGCTGAGGCCCGGGAAGGCAGTGGAGGATGGCCCAAGTGCTTGGGCCCTGCACCCGCATGGGAGACCAAGAGAAAGCACCTGGCTCCTGGCTTCGGATCGGCGTAGCACGCCGGCCGTAGGTGCCATTTGGGGGGTGAATCAAAGGAAAAGGAAGACCTTTCTCTCTGTCTGTCTCTCTCTCTCGTCTAACTCTGCCTGTCAAAAAAAAAAAAAAAAAAAAAGATAAACTATTTAAAAATATTTTTATTAAATGAACAGTTATATCCAATATTTGGTATATAAACATGAATATGCAGCTTTCCTAAAAAAGAAATGATTATTATTTTATATTAGTAAAAATTCACATGTATAACTGAATTACTTTTTAAAAATTATTTGAAGGGTAGACAGAGATTCCACACCCATTGGTTTACTTCCCAAATGCCCACAATAGTTGGGGCTGAGCCAGACCAAAGCCAAGAAGCCTAGAACTAAATGCAGGCCTAAATGCAGTATAGGTAGCAGGGGGCCAATTGCTTGAGCCATCACCTGCTGCCTCCCATGGTGTGCATTAACAGGAAGCTGGAATCAGTAGTGGAGTTGATACTTAAACCTAATATGGGTTGCAGCCATCACAAATGGCATCTTTTTTGTTTGTTTGTTTGTTAAGATTTATTTATTTGAGAGGCAGAGAGAGAGGTCTTCCATCCACTGGTTAAACTACACAAATGGCTGCAATGGATAGAGCAGGGCCAATCCAAAGCCAGGAGCCAGGAGCTTCTTCCAGGTCTCCCACATGGGTACAGGGACCCAAGCACTTGGGCCATCTTACAGAGCTTTCCCAGGCCATAGCATAGAGTTGGCTTGGAAGTGGAACAGCCAGAACTTGAACCAGCACCAATATGGGATGCTGGCACCACAGGCGGAGGCTTAACTTACTATACCACAGCACTGGCCCCACAAATGGCATCTTAACCACTGCACCAAATGGCCACTCCCTTCTCTTTTTGATTTATAAAGTTCTTAATGTTTTGAGGTTAGTAAAAGAAACAGTTCTTGTAATGGTGTCATTAGTTCAAATCTAAGCATTCTTTTTGAAAACTTTTTTTTTAGACTTTTTTTTTTTTTTTTTTTTTTTGACAGGCAGAGTGGACAGTGAGAGAGAGACAGAGAGAAAGGTCTTCCTTTGCTGTTGGTTCACCCTCCAATGGCCGCCGGGGCCAGCGCGCTGCGGCCGGTGCACCACGCTGATCCGATGGCAGGAGCCAGGAGCCAGGTGCTTTTCCTGGTCTCCCATGGGGTGCAGGGCCCAAGGACTTGGGCCATCCTGCACTGCACTCCCTGGCCACAGCAGAGAGCTGGCCTGGAAGAGGAACAACCGGGACAGAATCCGGCGCCCTGACCGGGACTAGAACCCGGTGTGCCAGCACCGCTAGGCGGAGGATTAGCCTAGTGAGCCGCGGCGCCGGCCAAAAACTTTTAAAAATTTTATTTGAGAGGCAGAAAGAGTGAGACAAATAAAGATCTTCCATCCATTGGTTCACTCCCAAAATACCTACAGTACTCAAGTCTGGGCCAGGCTGAAGCCAGGAATCCAGAATTCAGTCTCAGTCTCCAATGGGGATGGCAGGGAAGCCAAGTACTTGACCTGCTGCTTACCAGGGTGCGCATTAGCAGGAAGCTGGAATTGAAAGCAGAACTGGGACTTGAAACCAGGAATGTTGATATGGGATGTTGGTGTCCCAAGCATAGGCTTAACTGCTGCACAAAATACCTGCCTTCTTAATTCTGTAATCTCTTCCTTTGATTTTTCTCAAGACCACGGAACTAGGTTAGTGTCTCATACATTACTAGATGCTCATTCAAGAAAGATTTATTTTATTTTGGCATCAGAGCTGGAATTAGAGCCCAGCTTTCCTCCTGTTAAATCTCCTTCTCCTTCTGTTATACCACACGTTTTATGTATGTACTCAAAGTTGAGGTGTTATTTATTTATTTAAAATTTTTTTATTAGAGAGCCAAAGAGGGAGGGAGAGTTGCTATCTGCCAGTTCACTCCCCAGATGCTCACAGTGGCAGGGCTAGACCAGGGCTAGTGGTTAGAACCCAATCACTTGAGCCATCGCTACTGGCTCCCAGGATTGGCATTAGCAACAGGAAACTAGAAACAGGAGCCAGAACTGGATGTCAAACCCACACAGTGATAAAGGATGTGGCATCATAAATGCTAGGCTAACGACATGTCCCAACACTGACATTTTATTTGTTCTTTTTTTTTTTTTGATAACCAAATGAAAATTCACAAGTTTAAATCAGTTGTATGAATACTGAAATCATAAATATGCTGAGAGAAGAGTAAGTTTTTTAAAAACTTGTAGTGTTTTGTCTAATAAAATATAAACAGTCCATATTTCACACTTAAAGAATTTATATGAAGTTGCACATAAATTCCCGTGTAGCAATTTTAGTTTGGATACTTTATATTTTTAAACAATTATAGTCAAATGCTAAATATGAATTAGTGATTTCCAATTATAAAATTTTAAACCCATCATTTATTTATTTAAATTATTTAAGAGGCAGAGGGATACCCAGAGACAGGGAGAGTCTCCATATGCTAATTCACCTCGAAAATGTCCAAATCAGCCATGGCTGGGTCAGGCTGAATCCAGGAGTCAGGAACTCAATTCCAGTCTCCTATGTGGGTGGCAAGACCCCAGCTACTTGAGCAGTCATATGATGCCTCCCAGAGTCTGGAAAACTGTAATCAAGCTCAGAACCGAGACTCAAATCCAGTTATCTGATATGGGGTTTCTTAACTGCTAGGCCAAATACCTGCCCCCAGCTAAAAATTTTTTTACTTTAAGGAACTCAGATCAGGGAAAGAGGGGTTGTATAAGAAAGGATAAACAGTCATTGATTTTGTTTTGTCATTTGTTTTTAATTTTTTTTTTGTGTAGTGGTAAAATACACAGTTCTTAAATGTATAGCTTGATGACTTTTTACAAATTATATATATATATATGTACAGGTCAATGTACAGAATATTTCAAAGCCCCACTAAGAGTCTTAGTGTCCTCCTTCCCTTTTTTTTGTTCAAGGAGCCATCACTATTTTGACTTCTGTCACTATAGATTAGTTTTATCTGCTTTTGAAATCATGGAACAGTGTCCTGTCTGGCTTCTTTTGCTCATTGTTTATAAATTTCATCAATGTAGTTTTATGTAAATAAAGCGCAATTTATGTCTATTAACCTATTGATGGATATTTGGGGACTTACTGTTTTTTTTTTTGTTTTTGTTTTTTTTTTACTATTATGACAAAGTCTACTAAAAGCATTCTTTTATTTGTTTCTGGAGAATATGTATGCTAATTTTCTTGGGAAATAACATTATATAATTTTGTAAGACTCAAAGCATTTTTATTGAAATCAATACAAGAAATGCCTCACAAGAAATTTTGAAGTCTTTTTAAAGTGGATACCTCTTTTATTTCATGCAGGGGAAAATAACAGTTTCTTTACAACCAGTCTAAGGTGGTATCATAGGCCTGTTCTGTAGTGCAGGGTCATGAATATTATATATTCAGGCATTCAGTAAGAAGCTAGAAATAGTCTATGAAAGACAATCGTACTCTGCTTTCACCAACAAATAAAAAAGAAGCCATTTGAACATAATATGCTGAGTGCAGTAATGAGAGAGGTAAGAGTTACTAGCTGAGTACTTCCAAACTGCTCCACTTCCAATCTAGCTCCCTGCTAATGGCCTGGGGAAAGCAGTGGAAGATGGCTCAAGTACCTAGGCCCCTGCTGCCCATATGGGAGACTGCTCTTGGCCCTGGCTTTGACCTGGCCCAGTGCTAGCTGTCTTGGCCATCTGGGAAGTGAACCAGCAGATGGAAGATCAATCTCTCTCTATCTCTGACTTTCAAATAAATCTTAAAAAAAATTTTTGTTTGAAAGGCAGTGATGGAGAGAGAAAAGGGGGGAGGAAGAGGGGATTGGGGGAGAGAAAGAGATCCTCCATCTGCTGGTTCACTCCCCAAATGCCTGAAATAGCCAGGGCTAGGCTAGGCTGAAGCCGGGTGGCAGGAACTCTGTCAAGGTCTCACATGTTGTTGATAGGAACACAAGTATTGTACTACAGCCTCCCAGGTGCAGCCAGGTGCCTTAGCAGGAAACTGGATTGGAAGCAGAGGAGTGGGGACTCTATCTCAGCACTTTGATATGAGATGTGAATGTCCTAGGCAAGAGCTCAACCCACTGTGCCACAAGTGGCTCCAAAGTGCTACAGTTGAACATTAGGCTTCTATAACTATAAAAAAATCAAAATGTAAAAGTCATCTTTATCCTCTAATTGAGCTTCCAAATGTACTAGAATTTGGAAACTGGGATTAGGTTTATAATTTTGCCTTTCAGTTTTTTCAAATTGAGGAATTTACAGTTATTTTGTATGTCAGGTTTTACTATATATTTACATATTAAAATTTATTAAAGTTTATTTTGTTGATAAGAAGTTTAGATGGCTTTTATTTTAAAGCTTTCCATGAACAGCTAAGTTAAAATTTTCTTTCTGGAATTAGTGTTTCCTAAAGTAATTTAATTTTTTAAAGGTAGTTTAGTAGATGGTAACTAGTATAATAATTTGAAGTGGCACTGCATTTATTCATTCATTTTGTGAAAGGGTCAATCTAAAACAGGTTTGAAAACTTCAGCTGCTGAGAATGGCTCTTAAATTTTTAATGATTGTTAAAAAAAGAATTTTCAGCAAAAATTCACATGGCCTAAAAATGTAAAATATTTGTCTATGCCTTTATAGAAAAAAGGTCTAAATGAATATAATTTAAGTTCTTGGCACATACTTTTTTTCCTTTTGAAAAGTTTCTGTAAGATCTTTTTATAGTTGACATTGGAAAATTAAAATGTTCACTGTATTCTACAGAGAAGATGGTGAATTAGAAGATGGTGAAATAGATGATGCAGGACTTGAAGAAACACAACAACAGGAAGCAAAAGAGGATAAAAAGCAGAGAAATGAGAAAAATGAGAAAAATGAGAAATCCTACAGAAAATCAAGGAAAAAACACAAGAAAGAAAGAGAGAAGAAAAAATCCAAAAGGAGAAAACGTGAGAAACATAAGGTTAGTTAGAATCTACTTTAAAAAAATTCTTTTGGTAAGTTTCTGTGAAATATAAAATACTGAAAATTAGAACCTGTAAGTCAGTGGCTGCTTTCTTATGATGTGTATGGGTTAGATATTTTATTTATATGTTTAACAAAGTTTCTAAATGCAGAGATTATATGAATTATCTTAAAGATTTTTAAAAATCAAGATAAATTGTACTGCAGGTTAAAATAAATAGTCTTTTAACAGATGGGAGATTGCATGCAAGGATATTGGGAGGTTAAGGAAAGGTTTCATTCTCTGCAGATATAGTTTGGCAACATTTTATATGTCCGTTCATGTATTTATTCATTCATATGCATTCAGTGCCTACTGTGGAAGTCACTGTGCTACATGATGAGCGTTGTAGTGGTATGTGAAGCAGTTACGTCTTACAGAGATTATATTGAAGCAGGAAGGACAGAAGCAGTAATCAAAGAAAAAAAAACAGATGTTATCAAGAAAGCAATAGGGTTCTGGATGGAAAATAATGTGGGTTTTGGGTGGGAAAGAAGGGGAACCTATGTTGACAGAGAAATCAGGAAAAAGTTGGCAGCAGTGATGGAGCAGTTTTTGAAATTCTCTTTATTTCCCCCATAAAAACAGAATAACAGAATAGCAAAACCAAAAATTCATGGACAACATCTGCAGAAAAATGAAGTAACAACTTATCCCCAGAAACCTCAAAATTACAAATGGATTGAGTTAAACCATAGACAGTAACAGGACTAGTGTAGTATCAGCAACTGTGCAGAACAAAGCATGGGGAGAGGAATAGGACTTTTAGAAAACAAATTGCCAACAGTCCTTTATCTCAAGTGGTAGATTCCCACTCAGCATGGAAAGCTTGTGGGTCAGTCTGGGAACAGCAACAGAAGCCAGGAGGGACTTTAATAGCTCCAGTTTACACATGAGTGTCAGGTGGCTGCAGAAAACTGGATGATGCTGGAATGCTCTGGGCTTGATGAACTCTTAGTACTAATCAACCAAGTACTTTTCTAAGACAGAATAACTCACTTAAGAAGTAACTTCTGGGGCTGGTGCTGTGGCACAGCAGGTTAAAGCCCTGGCTTGAAGTGCTGGCATCCCATGTGGGCGCCATCTGGGGAGTGAACCAGCGGATGGAAGACCTCTCTCTGTCTCTACCTCTCTCTGTAACTCTGTCTTTCAAATAAATAAAATAAATCTTTAAAAAAATGATAACTTCTAGGAATAGAATCCAAATTGAGACCTAGGCATACTGAGTCCAAGGAAGAAATGATCAGTTAACAAATGGAGGAAGGGAGCAGGAAAGGCACAGCTCAGAAAATGCTCAGCCCTGCCAACAGCAGAAGAGAGAACTCTAGAGCCACGGTGCTAGGGAAGCTTCCCAGCCTGCTCCATCCCTTTTCCCATAAATAGTGAGAGAAGACTATTATCTTATTCTGTGGAAGTTATAAGAACAAAGAGAATAAGGAGATACTACTGTTTTCTAGAAAAGAAAGTGCTCACAAAGCATATGAAAAATCTTAATTTCAAAATAATAAAAAGTTAAGCAAACAGTACAAGCCATGATCAGATAACACAAATAGAATTTGGAAAACAAAGTTCTTTCGCCATCTAGGTAAAAAGATCAAATCTCTGTGGTGGATGTTGGCTTTGCAGTTAGATATCCACGTTGTATATCAGAGTACCTGAGTTTGATTTTTGGCTTCAGCTCCTGTTTCCAGCTTACTGATAATATAGACACTGGGAGGCATTGGTGGTGGCTCAAGTAATTAGGTTCCTACCACCCACATGGGAGACCTGGATTGAGTTGCCAGCTCCTGGCTTGAGCTCAGCCCAGCCCCAGCTATTAGGGCATTTGAGGAGATGAGGAGATAGCCAGCTGATTGGCAATTTTTTCTGTCTGTTTCTCTTCCTCTCAAACAAATAATTTTTTTTAAAAAAAGACCAAGTTATTAACTGAGAATAAAAAGATAATCAGGCTATTGTCCTGGGAATGAAAGGGAGAGAGGAAATGAGGTTATTACCTAATTTCATTTGTTCCTATTTGCAAATAAATTGGATGCAAAAATAGACTAAAATTATTAGATAAAGGTAGCATGGAAAAATCATTCAAATAAAAATAAAAACCTTTCTAAATACCAATACAAAATCCAACTCTGCTATGTATAAGATAGAAATATGGAGCCTGTGTTGTGGCTTAGTGTATTAAACTTCCACCTGTGATAATGTCATTCCATATGGGCACTGGTTCAGGTCCCAGCTGCTCCACAAGTCATCTAGCTCCCTGCTAATGCTCCTGAGAAATCAGCAGAGGATGGCCCAAGCACATGGGACTCTGCTGCCCTTGTGGGAGACCCAGATGAAGTTATGGGATCCAGGCTTCTCCTGGCCCAGCCATGGCCTTTGCAGCCATTTGGGGAGTGAACCAGTGGAAGATCTCCCTTTCTTTCCTTCTCTCTGTGTAATTCTGCCTTTCAAATATATACAAATAATGGGAAAACTACCAGGAAAATGCAAAGAAAGAGAAGGGAGAAGTCACACTGCTAACAACTGAGAAAGTCAAATTTAGGTCAAAAAGCCCTTGAAAGAAACAAAGAAGAGCATTTTTATAATGTTAAAGGTTACAATTTATGATAAAGATACGTTATTAATACAGCAGAAGTAGAACATAATACCTAGCATATCCAACATACCCATAAACCTCTTTTTTTTTTTTTTAAATAAGATTTATTTATTTATTTATTTGAAAGAGTTACACAGAGAGAGGAGAGACAGAGAGAAAGTCTTCCATCCACTGGTTTACTCCCCAATTGGCCACAACGACCAGAGCTGCGCCAATCTGAAGCCAGGAGCCATGAGCTTCTTCCGGGTCTCTCACGTGGGTGCAGGGGCCCAAGGACTTGGGCTATCTTTCACTGCTTTCCCAGGCCATAGTAGAGCGCTGGATCAGAAGTGGAGCAGCCAGGTCTCGAACCGGTGTCCATATAGGATGCCAGTGTTTCAGGCCAGGGCATTAACCCACTGCGCCACAGTGCCGGCCCACCCCCCCATATACCTCTTAATCTAAGAGATCAATCAGATGGTTAGGATATGGAATATATTTTATAAATACTCATGTGCATGGCTTTAAAATTTTTGTACCAAAATAAACTTATCTTAATTCTGTCTTCTGTGAGCACTTTGAAATATCCTCGTAATAAGTTTAGAATCCTGAGAATGTATCTTACTTTGAACTACACTTGGAATAATCATAAAAACTGACCATATCATAGATTACAAAGAAAACTACAGATCATTCAGTAGAACAGAAATAGTACAAAGAGCCGTCTCAAACCACAGTACAATGAAACTAATGATAATAAAATAAGAAACAAAAATGTCTTTGTTTGGTAATTTAATACTTGCTGTAAGTAGCCTGTGAAACATAGGAACACACAGATGAAAATTGCAGAAATCTATGAAAATAATGATAAAATCTTAATATATCAGTATCCTGGGAATATAGCTAAAGCAGTTATCTGAAGAAAAATGATGTTTGTATTAATCTGTTTTCTGTTGCTATAACAAAAGACCTGAAGCTGGCTCCTTACAAAGAAAAGAAGTTTGTTTGATTTAGTTTTGGAGATTGAAAATCCAAGATTGGGTGGCCACATCCACTCAGCCTTTGGCAGGGGCTCTCTGGGCTGCATCACAAAATGGAAAGGGAACTGGCTGTATGTAGAAGGGACCAAGTGGGTGAAGTGTCCTCACTTTATAACAACCCATTCTCAAAGAGATTTAACTCATTTTGGGAGACGAGCATTAATCTCTTCCAAGTACAGTGGCCCCCAGAGACCTCATTACCTTACACTAGGTCTCACCTCTTAAAGCTACCACTTCACTGAAGACCAGGCCTCCAGCACCTGAGCCTTGGGGGCATTGCATCTAAACTGTAGCAGTATTATAGTATCAAGTGTCCATGGGGGGAATAGGTGATAAAAATGGGGGGAAAGGTAAACTTAATATCCAGCTTGAAAGGCAGGAAGAACAAAGCAAACAAAACAAAGGAAAATTAAGTATGTAAGAAAATTACAGTTAGAACGTAATAAGTTAGAATGAAAAACCAGTAATTTTTTAAAAGATCAACAACATTGTGAATTTTAAAATAAGGAGTGCTGAGAGAGTTAGTGACAAACACAAAAGTGGAACCACTTTTTTAATCAGTGGTGGATAAATTTAAAAATGAAACTATATAAGTGATAGAATAAGTGAATATACTCTATTATCTGGGAGTGAAGAAACTTTGTTACAAATTACCCAGTCTGCGTCCCAGCTGCTCCACTTCTCCAGCTCCTTGCTAATGTGCCTGGGAAGGCAGTGGAAGATGGCCCAAGTACTTGGGCCCCTACCACCCAAGTAGGAGACCAGGATGGAGTTCTGGGCTCCTAGCTTTGGTCTGGTCAGCCTGGCCCATTGTGCATTATGAGTGAACCAAAGAATGAAAAAAATCTCTCTCTCTCCCCTCACCTCTGTTTGTCACTTTCCTATTCAAATAAGTAAATCTTGGGGAAAAAAAAAATAAAAAAGGGGGAGGGCAGTTAGTATCAGAGTTGATGTGGAAAAAGATATTTGAAAAGAAGATAAAATATTTCCGGTGATGAGGAATATCAAGACTAGAAGCTTCAGGAGCATCTCATATGTGAAAGAGACCTATGGACAGTAACTAAACTGCTTGTTTTCATTGTACAGGAGGCAGGACAAGGGTGAGACAAGCCAGTCTTGGGAAGGTTTGGAAAATATCAAAGCTGGTTAACACTGATGTACTAGTATTAAGAAAATGTCTTAGTAAGCCTTGTTTGCATGGAAAGTGGCATTTTAGGAAATTTAACCAGGGTGCAGGGTGGACTGGATGTTTGAGAAATGTGAAGCACATAGTGCAGGAGACAGCTTTGTTTATTTATATTAGCCATAGAAGTACATTTATATACTATTTGTTCATGTTTACCAAAGAAACATGAAGTTAACTTTTTTTAATTCAGTCATGACAAAAATATATAGAAAGAGAAGATATTATTCTTAGGTATGTGCTAACAAATAATGCTAAATATCTAGTAACTATTAAACTTTCTCCCTATAAGATTTATTATTCATTTGTTTACTTTTGTTAATTATTTGTCCTATACAAGCTTTTGTTTTAGACTATATTGAATTTGTTTGATAGTTTGTAGAATGAGAGGTTGATCCAAGTTTGTGGTGGTAAGAATGGTGAAGAATAGGGCTGACACCGCGGCTCACAAGGCTAATCCTCCGTCTGCGGCGCCGGCACCCCAGGTTCTACTCCTGGTTGGGGTACCAGATTCTGTCCCAGTTGCTCCTCTTCCATTCCAGCTCTCTGCTGTGGCCCAGGAAGGCAGTGGAGGATGGCCCAAGTGCTTGGGCCCTGCACCTGCATGGGAGACTGGGAGGAAGCACCTGGCTCCTGGCTTTGGATCGGCGCAACGCGCCGGCTGTAGCAACCATTTGGGGGGTGAACGAACGGAAGGAAGACTTTTCTCTCTGTCTCTGTCTCTCTGTCTAACTCTGCCTGTCAAAAACAAAACAAAACAAAAAAAAGAATGGTGAAGAATAGATAAATCTAAGAAGTTGCAGAAGGGGTTCATGAAACTTGCAGAAGAGTAAGAAGAAGTAAGCAAAGAAGACTCCTACATTTTTAGCCAAGAGGGGATTATTATTAATAGATAAATGTTAGAAACAGAAAATAGATAATCCTAGTTTAGGAAAAAAAAATGGAATTTAATTTAGATATGATTAGGTTAGGGCAAATATGAAATACACAGAGGGAGGACATTATGGATTGGAAATAGCAAGAGAGTTCCCATTGGGCATGTATTCTTTGCAGTAATTTTGAAAGGTCCAGGAGAGCTGAGCCCTTAAGAGACTGCTTTCTCCAAGAAGAGGTGGAAGAGAACAGAACCATTAGCTATTGGGAGGAAAGCAGTACAAAGTGAAACAGGAAAGGCTTCAGAAGTGTGAAAAGCTTTTTCTTTTGTAAACATGTCAAATAGCATTCTGTATGCCTCTGAGAAATATTTGATCTCACCAAGAAGTCAGAAAAATATTCCAAGAGTCTTTGAATATGTTCTTAAAAATGATTTTCTTCTTGTAAGGGATATGTATTCCAAGAAAATTAGACAATTAAGAAATATAAAATGAAAAGAGAAAAACCTCTATAATTAAACTTACTAAGAATAATCATTGTTAACATTTTGGTGTATTTATTTTATATCTTTGTTTCTGTTTTTGTTCTTAATATTCGAAATAATACTGTTTTTATACCTAAATTTTCACTTAATATTTAATATAAAAGATAACTTTTGTGTTACTATAAAAATCTTTCAAAATATCAGTTTAATAGACTGTTAGGTACTGCATTTTAATAAACCATTCTCTTATTGTTGGGCAGCAAGTTGTTTGTAGTAAATCTTGAGGGATAGGTAGATATTAGTGAGCTATCCAAGAAGACAGAGACTACAAAAGCAGAGAAGTGTGAAAATTATGGCATATATAAAGTCCCCTAAGTCCTTAAATTCTTTCTGTCACTATTTGAATATTGAAGGGAATCACTTAGTAGCTTTCCTATTAATTGGATTTTTTTAAAGATTTATTTATTTATTTATTTGAAAAGCAGAGACACAGAGAGGCAGAGGCAGAGATAGAGAGAGAAAGAGAAGTCCTCCATTCTGCTGGTTTACTCCCCATATGTCCACAATTGCTGGAGCTGGGCTGATCTGGAGCCAAGAGCCTTCTCCGGGTCTCCCATGCTGGCAGGGGCCCAAGCACTTGGGCCATCTTCTACTGCTTTCCCAGGCCACAGCAGAGAGCTGGATTGGAAGTGGAGCAGCCAGGACTAGAACTGGTGCCCACATGGGATGCCAGCACGGTGGCTTTACCCACTACACCACAGCACCGGTGCCATTAATTGGATTTTTTTTTTTATTTGACAGATAGAGTTATAGACAGTGAGAGAGACAGAGAGAAAGGTCTTCCTTACATTGGTTCACCACCCAAAATGGCCGCTACAGCTGGCACTGAGCTGATCCAAAGCCAGGGGCCAGGTGCTTCTGGTCTTCCATGCGGATTCAGGGGCCCAAGCTCTTGGGCCATCCTCCACTGCCCTCCTGGGCCACAGCAGAGAGCTGGACTGGAAGAGGAGCAACCGGGACTAGAATCTGGCACCCATATGGGATGCTGGCACCGCAGCAGGTGGAGGATTAACCAAGTGAGCTATGGCGCTGGTCCTGGATTTATTTTTTTATTTTTTTTTATTTTTATTTTTATTTTTTTTTAAGATTTATTTTATGCTGGCGCCGTGGATCACTAGGTCACTAGGCTAATCCTCCGCCTTGCGGCGCCAGCACACCAGGTTCTAGTCCCGGTCGGGGCGCCGGATTCTGTCCCGGTTGTTCCTCTTCCAGGCCAGCTCTCTGCTGTGGCCAGGGAGTGCAGTGGAGGATGGCCCAAGTCCTTGGGCCCTGCACCCGCATGGGAGACCAGGAGAAGCACCTGGCTCCTGCCATCGGATGAGCGCGGTGCGCTGGCCGCAGCGCGCCGGCCGTGGCGGCCATTGGAGGGTGAACCAACGGCAAAGGAAGACCTTTCTCTCTGTTTCTCTCTCTCACTGTCCACTCTGCCTGTCCAAAAAAAAAAAAAAAAAAAAAGAGAAGAAAGATTTATTTTATTTACTTGAAAGTCAGAGTTACACACAGAGAGAAGGAGAAGCAGAGAGAGAGAGAGGTCTTCCGTCTGATGGTTCACTTTCCAATGGGCTACAATGGCCAGAGCTGTGCTGATTCAAAGCCAGAAGTCAGGAGCTTCTTCTGAGCCTCCCACATGGGTGCAGGGGCCCAAGGACTTGAGCCATCTTCCACTGTTTCCCAGGAGCATTAACAAAGAGCTGGATCGGAAATGGAGCAGCTGGGACTTGAAGCAGCACCCATTTGGGATGCCAGCAGTGCAGGTGGTGGCCTTACCCGCTATGCCAAAGCACTGGCCCCAGCGCTTATATGTCTTTTATACTCATTTTTTTAAAGATTTTATTTATTTATTTGAGAGGTAGAGTTGCAGACAGTTACAGACAAATCGGAGCTGTGCTGATCCAAAGCCAGGAGCCAGGAGCTTCTTCCTGGGTCTCCCACGTGGGTGCAGGTGCCAAGCACTTGAGCCACCTTCTACTGCTTTTCCAGGCCATAAGAGAGAGCTGGATTGGAAGAGGAGCAGCTGGGACTAGAACCAGTGCCCATATGGGATGCCAGCGCCACAGTCAGAGGATTAACCTACTGTGCCATGGCGCTGGCCCCGAACCTTTTACACTCTTCACTCACTGTAGGGTGATGTGATGCTAGTATTAAGGAGTGTAATAGAAAACATAATTTAGACTTGAAATCGAGTACTTAACAACCATGCCTATTGAAGGAGATAATCCATTAGTATATAATAGGTAAAATAATTTAAGAGATACTTTTGAACATTAAACACAGTATTCCCCTTCTCCCTTAAAGGAGACATAAAAGGAAACACAAATGTTTTCAAATAAAAACTATACCATATCTTTTCACTTAATTGTCTGATAACTTTTGATTACTTTATTTCTTTTAGCTCAGACAGGCAGAGTGGACAGTGAGAGAGAGAGACAGAGAGAAAGGTCTTCCTTTGCCATGGGTTCACCCTCCAATGGCCGCCGTGGCCGGCGCACTGCAGCTGGTGCTGCACCGATCTGAAGCCAGGAGCCAGGTGCCCCTCCTGGTCTCCCATGCAGGTGCAGGGCCCAAGGACTAGATCATTTTTGAGCAAAGGGAACTTCTGTTTAAAGTCTTGGGGCCAAAGAGATGATGAAGAAAATGTTGCCATAAAGTCCTTAAGCAGAGGGGGAAGATACATACTTTCCTCTCAGAATACCTAGGAGAGGTTGGCATGGTGGTAGCCTCTGATGCAATGATTTTTCTAAAATACTTCAGAGTCTAATTAAAAAATATAATTTTTCAATAGTATTTCAGAGTCTACTGGAATAATGTAATGTACTAGTATTTATGGTTGAAACAAGTTTGTCTGGTTCCTAGTTTAATTTTCTTCCTTTTGCAAATGTAATATCTTTGTCTTTTTCTTCCCTTCAGCATAATTCTCCATCAAGTGATGATAGTTCCGACTACAGCCTTGATTCAGATGTTGAACATACAGAAAGTTCCCATAAAAAGAGAACTAGTTTCTACAGGGATTATGACATTCCATTTCCTCAGGTATTGCCTTTTTAAAAAACACATGTGGTAAAGCATATAACATGAAGTCTACTTCAGTCATTTTTAAAGTATACAATTCAGTGGCATTAAGTATACTGACAGTATTGTGCAGTCGTCATCACTTAGCCATTTCTAAAACTTTTTGTTAATTCCAAACAGAAACTCTGTATTCATAAAATAATAAAACCCAATTTCTTTTTGCTGCAACCCCAGATAATGACTATTCTACCTTCTGTCGGTATGAATTTTTTCTGCTCTACATACTTTATATATGTGGGATCACCCAGTATTTGTCTTTTTGTATCCAACTTATTTCACTTAGCACATTTTATAGCACATATCAGAATCTCATTCTTTTAAAAGCTGAATACTATTCTATTGTATGTATATACCATGTTTTGTTTGTCTGTCTGTTTGTTGATTGACACTGGGACTGCTTCTGCCATAGCTATTGGGAATCATGAGAGGAAATAAATTGAAAATTTAAGTATAATTCTGCTTTAAAAGGTGGGAATACAGAGATTATTTGTATAAAGCAATGAACAGAGAATATTAAAAATTAAAAACATTTTATGACAAGCATCTAATCTGCAAAGAAAATCCACTAACAAAATAGTCTTTAATCATAAAAAGTAAAATATATCACTGGAGTACTAATATAATTATTTTTAATAAAAGGTGATTTAAACATTGTTCAGTTAATGAATCTACAGTTTCATCTAATCAGTTACCTTTTTTTGCTTTGGTTTTCATCTGCTTTTTTAGTGTATGTGCTACTGAAGAAGCACTTACATCTGCTTTTTAAGACAGATTTGAATATCATCATCACATAAACAAAACTGCATCCTTTGATTCACATCCTTTAGTAAAAAGCAATAAAATTAATGATGTTTGTTGTAATAAACATTTTCTAGTGAGCAGCTTACCCACTAGATTATCTTCACTATTAGGGAAAGCTCTGTTTTCTATTAGGCCTTAGATATAAACAACATTTTCCAAACATGTAATTTTTTAATTTAATGTCATGTTATTTGAGAATTTTTTAATATTTATTTATTTGAAAGGCAGAATTATAGAGACAGAGAAAGAGAGATCTTCCATCTGCTGGTTCATTCCCCAAATGGATGAAACAGTTGAGGCTGAGCCCGGCAAAAGCCAGGAACCTGGAGTTTCTCCTGGGTCTCCCACATGGGTACAGGGCCCCAAGCACTTGGGCCATCTTCACCTGCTTTCCCAGGCCATAGCAGAGAGCTGGATCAGAAACGTAGCAGCCAGATTTTGAAACAGCATTTATATGGGATGCTGGCATCATAGATGACAGCTTTACCAGCTATGCTGCAATGCCAATGTTAGGTATTCAGGCCGGCGCGTGCCTCAATAGGCTAATCCTCCTCCTGCAGCGCCGGCACACCGGGTTCTAGTCCCAGTCGGGGCGCCGGATTCTGTCCCTGTTGCCCCTCTTCCAGGCCAGCTCTCTGCTGTGGCCCGGGAGTGCAGTGGAGGATGGCCCAAGTGCTTGGGCCCTGCACCTGCATGGGAGACCAGGATAAGCACCTGGCTCCTAGCTTCGGATCAGCGCGGTGTGCTGGCCGCAGTGCGCTGGCTGCAGCTGCCATTGGAGGGTGAACCAATGGCAGAGGAAGACCTTTCTCCCTGTCTCTCACTGTCTACTTTGCCTGTCAAAAATAATAATAATAATAATAATGTTAGGTATTCATATATTTTCCACACTCCTCCCCCATTCTGTTTTATTATCTTTTCTGTGTTGTCAGAGAGGCCTAAAGCAGGCTTTTAAGCTACAGTGTAAAAAATATAATGTTTGATAACGTTAGAGCTAGCATTTAGCTCTTTGAGCTTAGTGTTCAAAAGTTTTATAAATGAAGACTAATCAAGAATCAGAACTGGGAGCAGGTGTTTAGCCTAGGGGTTGAGATGCCCCTATTCCACATCAAAGTTTGTGTGTGACACATGGCTCTGGCTCCTTACTCCAGCTTCCTTTGAATGCAGATTCTGGGAGGCAACAGTGATGGCTCAAGTCTCCCAGCTTTGGCCCCATCACGACTTTTTCAGGAACTTGGGGAGTGAACCAGCAAATGGGAGCTCTCTCTTGCTTGTCTCTCTCTCTCTCTGCCTGTTAAATACGTTAATTAAAAAGAAAGAATCAGAACTAATAACTACTTTTTCTTATTGTTTTTCCCAACTTAGAGGAAAAGATGTGTTGCTATTAAGTATATAGTAGAAAAATTCTTATGATTTTCCATTTTCACTTAGCATGGACACATATCAGGAAGCTACATGACATCAAAGAAGGGTCAACATAAAAAATTTAAGAGTAAGGAATATGATGACTACAGTACCTACAGTGATGACAACTTTGGTAACTACAGTGATGACAACTTTGGTAACTACGGTCAGGAAACTGAGGAAGATTTTGCCAGTCAGTTGAAACAATACAGACATGCTAAAGAAACCTCAAGTACTGCTTTAGGGTCATCATTTTCTAAAGAACCAGGCAAAAAAAGAATGAAAGGAGTTCAACAAGGTAAGTTTGAAATTGTAGTCTGTTTTAGAATATGAGAACCTTATTCCAGTAGGTACCAATAGAGTGAAACTTAGAATGTCTTAACCCCTTCTCCAAATCAGCTTACTCTTATGGTACCTAATTTCATTTTCCTTTTTTTGGTAGACCTTGAAAAAAATCTACAAATATATTGATCTGTTTGATGTCTTACTATTTCAATTAGAAAAATACTCTTTAAAAGTATATAAAAATTTAATACAACTTTCTTATGTTTTCCCCTCTCTTTTATATTATGCTAGTATATAGTTATGTTTCTATATTACTTTATATTTTAGACCAATAAGGCAGCATTCTAGGTAGCTATTATTTTATTAGGCTAAAATATGATGATTATCTATGCTATGCAAATATACATAGGGCTGTAAACATCCTTTAGGATTGGAAATAAGAACATAATCTAGAGAAATTTGTGTCATGATCACCTGTTTATCTGCTATACTGAGGTACATTGTCCTTGTACAGACCAGGGTGAGTTGCTAGCTAGTGACAGATATTTCATATTTATGTGAAACACAAAAGGCTCAAATCAGACTTAGGTTTTGGCTAGTTAATATGTCTGATTCCAGAGAACCAGAACAAGATGAGGCTGAGGTGAAGAAGTGAACTCACACCCAATTTAAAGATTATTTTTTGAATAAAGGAATTAATAATGGGTAAAATTGCCCATTTCCCTGCTTAAATTTTTCTTCATTTTCTAGAAAAAATCCTTTTAAAATTATGAATTTTAGGGTTAGCTTAACTAAAGGAAAAAGAATTTATCTACATGGATTCTATTGCAGTGAGTAAGTTTGTTCCTGGAATCTAAATGTAGTATTATTAGGGATCATCATATTTGAAGAAGAAGGGTAATATTGAGAGAGCTTACATATCCCTTCCTGCCTACGGTTTTCAAGTTCACTGTTGTCTTTTTAAAGAATATTGCATTTTATTTTGGATATTTTCCCCCAGAGTTACAGAAGTAATAGAAGATAAAGTACAGAAAAATTTTCCTATGTATTGGAAAGATAATCCAGCAATAATCTGATCACTATTTTTAATAAAACTATACATATTGTTTTATTGGTTTTTTCCCTTGACTATGAAATGTATCTCAATCACTACTATGTTGATGAACAGTTTTAAATACCTACATTCTATTCAATCAATCATACACAGTTGTCTTAAATTGTTCAGTTTGTTTAGTAGTAGTACAATGATTATTTGATATTCAAGTTATAACCAGTTTTATTTCCAACTCTGTGATGAACTCTACAGTAAACATACTTCAGCATATCTCAGAAAATAACTTTGGCATATATTTTTTTCTTAAGAATAAATTATGGGGCCAGCACCGTGGCTCAATAAGCTAATCCTCCGCCTTGCGGCGCTGGCACACCGGGTTCTAGTCCCGGTTGGGGCGCCGGATTCTGTCCCGGTTGCCCCTCTTCCAGGCCAGCTCTCTGCTGTAGCCCGGGAGTGCAGTGGAGGATGGCCCAAGTGCTTGGGCCCTGTACCCCATGGGAGACCAGGATAAGTACCTGGCTCCTGCCATCGGATCAGCGCGGTGCGCTGGAGCGCTGCGGCCATTGGAGGGTGAACCAACAGCAAAGGAAGACCTTTCTCTCTGTCTCTCTCTCACTGTCCACTCTGCCCATCCAAAAAAAAAAAAAAGAATAAATTATGGCCGGCACCGCAGCTCAATAGGCTAATCCTCCGCCTAGCAGCGCTGGCACACCGGGTTCTAGTCCCGGTCGGGGTGCCGGATTCTGTCCCGGTTGCCCCTCTTCCAGGCCAGCTCTCTGCTGTGGCCCGGGAAAGTGCAGGGGAAGGAGGGCCCAGGGGGCTTGGGGCCCCTGCACCCCCATGGGGAAACCAGGAAAAACCACCTGGGTTCTTTGCCTTTTGCATCAAGGGCGGGTGCGGCCGCCCGGCAGCGGGGGGGGCCCTTTGGAAGGGGGGAACCAAAGGGGAAAAGGAAAAACCCTTTTCTCCTTGGGCCTCTCTCCTCCACTGCCCCACCCCTGCCCGGTCGAAAAAAAAAAAAAAGAAAAAAAAAAGGATAAGTTATTAAAAAGGGAAATTTTCCTCGCGGGCTTGTTGATCCGCTTCTGCCTTCCCAGGGCGTGCCCCCGGGAAGTGTAAGAAGTGGAACACATGGGACTCAAACTGGCGCTCCATATGGGATGCTGGCTTGACAAGCAGCATCTTGACCTGTTGCATCACAGTGCTGACTCCAAGTTTTATTACTTTCTAAAGTGAAAATGGATATGCTAATTTTATACTTTTACTTATTTTAATAAAGTGAAACATTTTTCATATGTTTATTGGTTGGTTATGTAGGTTTTAAGGTTATTAGGAAACTTAGTAGTTTCAGTATGACTTTGGTAAAATGAGAAATTACTACATATTATAACTTAGTACCCTAACATAATAGTTTTTGTAATTTAGGTATCTTTTGGGATACTTTTTTTTTTTTTTTTTTGATAGGCAGAGTGGACAGTGAGAGAGAGAGACAGAGAGAAAGGTCTTCCTTTGCCGTTGGTTCACCCTCCAATGGCCGCCGCGGCCGGCGCACCGCGCTGATCCGATGGCAGGAGCCAGGAGCCAGGTGCTTTTCCTGGTCTCCCATGGGGTGCAGGGCCCAAGCACCTGGGCCATCCTCCACTGCACTCCCGGGCCACAGCAGAGAGCTGGCCTGGAAGAGGGGCAACCGGGACAGAATCCGGCGCCCCGACCGGGACTAGAACCCGGTGTGCCGGCGCCGCTAGGCGGAGGATTAGCCTAGTGAGCCGCGGCGCCGGCCTCTTTTGGGATACTTTTAAGCACCAAGTTTTTCTAAAGTGAAAAAAAATTTTTACTTGGAGATATATATTTAGATTTACTAAAGATTATCGATAGAAATACAGTTTGCCAACAGGAGTCACTGTGCACTTACTCCCCATGTAGGATCTCTGTCTTTAATGTGTTGTACTATTAGAATTAAAGGTAAAACTAGTCTTCAAACAGTACTTGATAATTTGGGTGTCTGTGTGGGTGCAAACTGTTGAAATCTTTACTTAGTATATACTAAGTTGATCTTCTGTATATAAAGATAATTAAAAATGAATCTTAATGAAGAATGGGATGGGAGAAGGAGTAGGAGATGGGATGGTTGTGGGTAGGAGGGTGGTTTTTGGGGGAAAAACCGCTATAATCCAAAAGTTGTACTTTTGAGATTTATATTTATTAAATAAAAGTTTTCTTAAAAATAAAAACCACTGCATAGAGCTAAACATCAACCTATCTCAACTAAACTTAAGTTGAATCACAGAAAATAAACTGTTCTAAGCCTCAAAAAATAGTTTGCTACAAATTAATCACTAATATCTGTGATGTCTTCTTTAAGTATTAATATAATATTTAATCCTCTTAAAACAGAAGGACTTGCATTTATCCTAAGGAAATTTAAAAGGCATAAGGCTACATTTGGCTTCTCTAGCCATGTATATCCTTGTTCCTTTCCTTCCTATGTTGCTAACATCCTTTAAGAAGCAAAGGAACAAAAAGCAGTACATTTGTGGTAAAGTAAAAAGATTTCATTAATTTTTTTATTGAATCTAGTTAAAAATATACCCTTCCTTTGAAATTAATAGACTGACCATTCTACTCTTTTTCTATAATATTTAAAGTACTTTTCAACTTTCTAGGTACTGAACAACAGAGAGTTAAAAGTTATAATGTTGGTCGTGGACGTAGTTTGCCGAAGAAAATCAAACGAAAAGACCGTGGAGGAAGAACTAATAAAGGACATGTTTTTTCAGGAACAGATGACTATCAAGAGGTACCGAGAATTTTTATATTAAGGAAGAGAGTAGCTTTTCCATATTTTAATTTATTTGGTTGAAAAGAAGGTTTTTTAACGTTTTAAAAATATTCATGTGTTTTTAAATCAACACAATATTTCTATGTACTTCTGGGGCACAGTGTAATAATCTGAGCCACGTACACAATGTATAATGACCCAGTAAGAGTAATTAGCATTTCCTTCCAACAACGTTTATCATTTCTGTGTGTTGCAAGCCTTCTTTTCTAGTTATTTTTAAATAGAGTATAAACTGATGCAGACAATAGTTCCCTTACTGTGCTACAGAGCACCAGGATGAATGCCTGGTAACTGTGTTTCAGTACTTGTTATCTAACTGATCTCCATCCCCCTCATTGCTTCTCTTCCCATTTTCTAGTGACACAGCAAGGATGCTTTAAAAAGTTCATGGAAAAGAGAATTAAGAGCTAAATTTATTTTTGGTGCAAAAGCTATTTTGCATTCTATTCATCAATTTTTTATACTATGTATCCTCCATGATTTTTGGAAGATTCCTTATATAATGTTCTCTTCTAAGAGATTGATATGTTTAGCTTCCACAAATGATTAAGAACATACTATGTTAGTAATTCTGTGTATAGTTTGTTCCATTTAACAATGCCTTTGGGGTTGGTGCTGTAGCATGGTATGTTGAACCTTCACCTGCAGTGCCAGCATCCCATAAGAGTGCTGGTTCAAGTCCCAGCTGCTCCACTTCTGATCCAGTTCCCTGATAATGCACCTGGGAAAGCAGCAGAGGATGGCCCAAGTCCTTGGGCCCCTACAACCACATGAGAGACCCAGAATAATTTCCAGGCTTCAGCCTGGCCCAGCCCTGGCCATTGTAGCCGTTTGGGGAGTGAGCCAGCAGGTGGAAGATCTCTCTATTTCTCTCTCTCTGTAACTCTGCCTTCCAAATAAAGAAATAAAATCTTTCTAAAAAAATAATGTCCTGGGGCCAGCGCTGTGGTGCAGCGGGTTAATGCCCTGGCCTGAAGCGCCGGCATCCCATATGGGCGCCAGTTCAAGACCCGGCTGCTCCACTTCCGATCCAGCTCTCTGCTATGGCCTGGGAAGGCAGTGGAAGATGGCCCAAGTCCTTGGGTCCGTGAACCCATGTGGGAGACCTGGAAGAAGCTCCTGGCTCCTGGCTTCGGATCAGCTCAGCTCCAGCTGTTGCTGCCAGTTGGGGAGTGAACCAGTGGATGGAAGACCTCTCTCTCTGCCTCTCCTCTCTGTGTAACTCTGACTTTCAAATAAATAAATAAATCTTTGTAAAGAAAAAAGAAAATAGCTCTTTTATAAAAAAATAATGTTCTCAAATTCCATCCACGTTTCTGCAAATAACAGAATTTCATCCTTTTAAAGATTTGTTTATTTATTTATTTAAGAAGCAGAGTTACATTGGCCAGCACCGTGGCTCAATAGGCTAATCCTCTGCCTGCAGTGCTGGCACACCGGGTTCTAGTCCCAGTTGGGGCACCGGATTCTGTCCCGGTTGCCCCTCTTCCAGTCCAGCTCTCTGCTGTGGCCCGGGAGTGCAGTGGAGGATGGCCCAAGTCCTTGGGTCCTGCACCCACATGGGAGACCAGGAGAAGCACCTGGCTTCTGGCTTCGGATCAGTGCGGTGTGCCGGCCGCAGTACACCGGCCACGGCAACCATTGGAGGGTGAACCGACGGTAAAGGAAGACCCTTCTCTCTCTCTCTCTCTCTCTCTCTCTCTCACTCACTGTCCACTCTGCCTGTCCAAAAAAAAAAAAAAAAAAAAACCAGTTACAGAGAGGGAGAGAGAGACACAGGAGAGAAAGAGAGAGAGAGAGAGAGGTCTTCCATCCACTGGTTCACTTCCCAAATGGCTGCAATGGCTTGAGCTGGGCTGATCCACAGCCAGGAGCCAGGAGCTCCTTCTTGGTCTCCCACATGGGTACAGGGGCCCAAGGACTTGGCCATCCTCTTCTGCTTTCCCAGGTGCATTAGCAGGGAGCTGGATTGGAATTGGAGCAGTTGGGACTCGAATCAGTGACCATATGGGATGCCGGTGCCGCAGGTGGAGGCTTAGCCTACTACGCCACACTGATGGCCCCAGAATTTCATCCTTCTTTGCTTGAATAATGTCCATTGTGTAGTTATGTCACATTTTCTTTATTCACCCTTTGATGCATCTCTGATGACAATGCTCCTTCCCTACTAAATGAAAGATAGCCAGCTCAGATAAAATGAGTGTAAATAAACTGAAAAAATTTGTTGTTTTAATTAATTATAATACCACAATAGAGGTGCAAATTTAAGTGATCTCATAATAAAATTAAAATGTTTAATAGAGCCTCAAAATAAAATTGATGATTTTAAAAACAAAAATAATCCTCTAATAGTGTTCTGTTAGGCTTTCCTTTCCTAGGAATTATATACCCAGGTGTAAACAGCAGCAAAATGTCAGTATTAATATATTAAATGTTCTGAGCAGGTTAGGAATAAAGAAGCCTACAATTATCAAAATTTATTTGACTACAAACTCTTCTCCCACAAATGCATACCTATTGATAGTCACTGTTCCATGGAAGAGCAGCATTGGAATTATTAAAGGTACTAATTTAGAATTTGTAGTTATTATAACCTTCATATTCATCATCTTAGACATCATTATACCTCTATGATGTGCTGCTTTCCCTAACCCAAAATAAAGTGAATGCTTGCGAAGTACGTGTGCTTCTATACCCAGTTCTTTTACTTTATTTTTTTTAAAGATTTATTTACTTATTTATTTATTTGAAAGGCAGAGTTACCTAAAGAGAGACAGAAAGGCAGAGAGAGAGAGGAGAGATCTTCCATCCGCTGGTTCACTCCCCAATTGGCCTCAGTGGCTGGAGCTGTGCTGATTTGAAGCCAGGAGCCCCTTCTGGGTCTCCCATGCAGGTGCAGGGGCCCAAAGACTTGGGCCATCTTCTACTGCTTTCCAAGGCCATTGCAGAGAGCTGGATCGGAAGTGGAGCAGCCAGGACTCAAACCAGCAGCTACAAGGGATGCCAGCACTGTAGGCAGTGGCTTTACCTGCTACGCCACAGTGCTGGCCCCCAGTAATTTACTTTATAGCTAAAAAGTTTAGTTTCCTGGCCGGCGCCAGCACACCGGATTCTAGTCCCGGTTGAGGCGCCGGATTCTGTCCCAGTTGCCCCTCTTCCAGTCCAGCTCTCTGCTATGGCCCAGAAGTGCAGTGGAGGATGGCCCAAGTGCTTGGGCCCTGCACCCTCATTGGAGACCAGGAAAAAGCACCTGGCTCCTGGCTTCGGATCAGCGCGATTCGCCGGCTGCAGCACGCTGGCTGCGGCGGCCATTGGAGGGTGAACCAATGGCAAAGGAAGACCTTTCTCTCCGTGTCTCTCTCTCTCTCGCTGTCCACTTTGCCTGTCAAAAATTAAAAAAAAAAAAAAAAAAAAAAAAGTTTAGTTTCCTGAGTCGTACTTTGAGCTGCTACTTTCATCTCTAATTTTATTAACTTGGGTCTTCTCCTTTTGGTGGGGGTGTTAGTTGGGCCAGTAGTATATCAGTCTTGTTTATTATTTTTTTAAAAAAGCTCTTCATTTCCATGATATTTTGTGTGTTTTTATTTTAATTTTGGTTATTTCTTCTGTAGTTTTAATTATTTCTTCCCTCCTATTAATTTTGGGTTTGGTTTGTTCTTGTTTTTCTAGATCTTTGAGATATATTGTTAGATCAGTTATTGTTCTCTTTCCAATTTCTTGATGAAGGCACTAATTGCTATAAACTTTCCTCTTGACACTGCTGTTGCTATATCCCATAAGTTTTGATATGTTTTGTTGTCATTTTCATTTTTTTCTAGGACTTTTCTAGTTTTCCTTTTGACTTCTTCTATGACCCACTACTGATCATTCTTCATTGGTTTCCATATTTTCTAGAGTTCCTTATGTTATTAATTTTTAGCTTCATTCTGTTATAGTTAGAAAAGGATGTGATATGATTTAAATTTTGTTTTATGGACTAGTATTTGGTCTATCCTAAAGAACTTTCCATACAGCAATGAAAAGAATGTGCATTTTGCAGCTATGGGATGAAATTTCCTCTTGATATCAATTAGATCCATTTGGTTAATACTGTAGATTAGCTGTATTATTTCTTCATTGATTTTTCTGTCTAGTTGATCTGTCCATTGATGAAAGTAGGGTGTTGGAGTCATCCATTACTATTATATTGGAGCATTTTTCTCCATTTAGATCCATTAACATTTATTTTAAATAGCCAGGTGCCCTAGCATTGGGTGCTTGTACATATACTATAGTCACATCTTAGTGAATTGATCCCTTAATTGTTACATAATGCCTTTCTTTGTCTCTTTTAACATTTTTTGTCTTAAAGTCTATTTTGTCTGATATTAAAGAAGGCTACTCCTGCTTTTCTGTGAATTTCATTTGCATGGAATATATTTTTTCATCCTTTCACTTTCAGTTTGCATGTATCTTTGTTGATGAAGTATTTTTCTTGGTAGGCAGAAAATAGATGGCTCTTGTTTTTTAAACCATCGAGACAGTCTGTATCTTTTAATTGGAGAATTTAGGTCATTTACTTTTAAAGGTTATTGTTGGTCCTGCCATATTCCTAATGTTTCTTTTGGATCTCCTTTATACCTTTATAGGAGGTTTTCTGCTTTTATATTCTTTCGTGATGCTGATTATCTTTCTCTGCTTCTGTGTGTAGCACATCCTTAAATATCATTTGTAAGTCTGGCCAGGTAGTGACAAATTCTTTCAATTTCTGTTTATTTTTGCAAAGTCTTTATTTTGTCTTCATTTATAAATGAATGCTTCACTGGGTACAATATTCTGGGTTGACAATTTTTAGGACTTGGACTATGTCTCTCTATTCTCTCCTAGCCTGTAGGATTTCTGATGAGAAATCTGCCATTAATCTAATTCAAGTTCCTTTAAAGGTAATCTAGTGTTTCTCTCTTGTTCATTTTAAGATT